ATCAAAATATTTTTCAAATAAAACTTGTTAAGAGTTAAAAAAAGAACAACTTTTCCATTTATTAAAATTTTTGAGATAACTAGATTTATATTTTATTTACCGTTATAAGTATATATATAAAACCTTCAGTTAATAACATTTAGTATTTTAAAAAGTACCAATCCACATAAGTGTGGTCGAATTTACACGGTATTACTCGTTACGCAATCTAAATTACATAGCATTTACGATCGTTTTCAAACGCCCCAATTCCTTTGAGTGCGGTTCGCTATTTTCGGGTTCTATATCGTTCTTTCATCACCCCGTCAGATTTCCATGTTCACCAACTCGCTTTACAACTCGACACGGCGTCTCTAAACGGCCGTTAATTGTAGTAGAAGCGATTCGGTTCGCTGTTTCGTCAGTATCGCCAACTTCTTGCAGCCGCTCGCCATCGATTTTCGACCGAAAAGTTCGACTACTAGTGTTTCGCACTCTGACTTCTCCGAGTTTCTCCTCTACTCTACTCTACTACTCTCTTTTAGACCTTACTCGATCGCCCTACTCCCTTGTAACATCCCGATCCGAATTCTGTTCGCGCTAGATGGTTTTATTGGACACGTCGTCGAATCTCGACGTCAAATCGCCGATTGTAAGTCTATCAGTCAACGCTATCTTTGCGCTACTCATTTAATATGGTCGAGATATTAAATTTAAAATTATCCTTTTTATTAAATTCATTCTTTTCTGGAATTTTGCACTTCAAAATGGTATATTAGATTAAATATAGTGACGCGTCAAATGCTGGAAATATTGGATTCTGGATACTAATTGTTGATTCCAGTCATATATTCACTTTCTACTAGAAATCTGCTTCTACTAGAAAATCAAAATTGTATTAGTAGTCAAGTAAAAATAATTTTTGAATGGTTTATATTCGGAGTCATTAAATTTTCCTTAGAACCATCTGCACGTGTTAGAGAAGGATAAAGCATTCTCTTTTTAAGCAATTTATCGATTCATTTCTGCTCCCTTCTTCTTAGTAAATCGCAATCTGAAACGTTCTCCCCTAATGAGAATATGAAGGAATTAAAATCTTGCTGCTATAAGTTGTGTATTGTTACATGGAAATGAATTCATTATTTGCAAGAACCCTACTTTGAGAGATGTAGTTCCCATCATTAAGTATTGATTAAGTGGAAGGGAGATTAAAGGGGGTAATCAGAGACAACTAGGAATAAAAGTCTGTTTAGACAAGGGCACCCATCGTTGAAATAGCTATCATCGGATCTGCGTTGAAACACATCTCGGCGTCCATTCGCAGGGCTATTTGCAAAACCGAGGTGGAAGTGTGTGTACACAGCGTCACCTCCGCCCATTTCCAAGGGACGTCCCACGGGGGCTCTTCAGTCTCGCACTCTGAACTCAATACGCATTCGGCGACAGCTGACCATCTATTATCCGGACCCCCTTCTTGAAATCGGTCCCCTTTAAAACTAATTAACTACCTTAAGCCCCAGTGACAAATACATGACACGAGGTAACCCTTTCTTATCCAACCTTAGCCATGGCACCGGCAAAACGGAGGCATTCGTCACGGCGGCGGATTCAATAAGGGTCTCGCCCGAGATTACGACACTTCTTCTAAAGCTTACAGAGTCGGATTGTTTGAAAATTTCAATTCCTGCGCAATTTTGTTTTCCAATTTGAGCTGAGCAGCCAGTTGTTTTCATCGAAATAAAAAAATAGATCGGCATTCGACGAAATCTCGATTTCCAGATTGATGGTTTTCAATAAAACTTCCCAGTCGGCCATAATTAATGGTTGCGAGAGTGATTTGTTTATCAACAAAACTCGGAAACTGTTATAATTAGCCGTCATTGGAAAGATAGCGTTGCGGAAAACTTGAATGCAGCGTTATTGGACGCCGTCTATCGAACAGCAGGTAGACAACTAGTCCTGGTGTTCATAAATCGGTTTTAATAACGCCGACTAGGAAGGGATGGAACCCGATTGAGGAGAGCTTCCCTCGTATTTACTGCACCCTCCGAGTGGAAATATCTCTCTGCGATCCGGGAACCACAGCCACTCTGTGCAATATTGAACATGCCGAATTGAAAATCGCTTAAAATTCACCACTATTTTTGCCACACTTTTACCCCCACCGCACCGGAATGCCAGATAACGTACAAAAGGAATATCTTTCAATACGGCGCCGGCTTTTCCACCACTTTCGGGCTCCCCGACAACGCGCTTCATGAAAAAAAGATAACGCCGCCGCAACAAATAATTCTTTGTTCCCTCGGTTCCCTTTAATCTCAATAGTCCCGTCGCGCACCGAAAAATCTAATAAATATTGAAGTGAAATTGCAAAAACTCTTCGCACGCCAATCTGCGTTCCTCTTTTTGACGAAGACAAAACCAAAAATAAAACAACCTGTTAACATCCCTTTTGATATACATCAAAAACGACCAAAACAATCATTAAAAATTCACTTCAATCATTTTTATCACAATACAAAGTAAACTAAAATAAGTTCCTCTACATTTTATCTACAGCAAAAACCTCTATATAACAGACCTCGTTAAAATGAAATTCGAATATAACGAACACAATATTTTTAATTTGTGTGTTAGTTGTAGTTTTAATTCAATAAAAATATACAACATAGTAATATCTTATGCTAACTAGCGCTACCTACCACTGCCATTAGAACTAATACAAGACATAGAACTAGAATCATTCGGGTTTAGCCGTCTTGCAAGAGGTGAGGCTAAACCCGAATGTTTCTAGTTCTAAGTCTTGTATTAGTTCTAGTGATAGTGCTAGTATAAAACTAGAACTAACACTAGACCGAGAACTAGAATCATTCGGGTTTAGCCTCACGTCTTTCAAGACGGCTAAACCCGAATGATTCTAGTTCTAGATCTTGTAGTGATAGTGCTAGTGTAAAACTGGAACTAACACTAGAGCGAGAACTAGAACCATTCGGGTTTAGCCTCACGTCTCTCAAGACGGCTAAACCCGAATGATTCTAGTTCTAGGTCTTGTGTTAGTTCTAGTGATAGTGCTAGTGTAAAACTAGAACTAACACTAGACCTAGAACTAGAAACATTCGGGTTTAGCCGCACGTCTCTCAAGACGGCTAAACCCGAATGATTCTAGTTCTAGGTCTAGTGTTAGTTCTAGTTTTAACTGCTATACAGCGTTAGATTGTTGTATATTTTTCAATGAACTAGAACTAACACTAGACCTAGAACTAGAATCATTCGGGTTTAGCCGTCTTTAGAGACGTGCGGCTAAACCCGAATGATTCTAGTTCTAGGTCTAGTGTTAGTTCTAGTTTTAGTTGTTATTCAGCGTTAGATTGTTGTATATTTATCATTGAACAAAAACTAGAACTAGAAAGTTTTGGGTTTAGTTTTGAGACTTGATAAATACAGATCTGAATAGAATCTCGTTATATCGAAATATTAATGTATTTAATTTAGCTGAAAATTTTGAATGGTACATTACATTTAGAAATGCTATTAGTGATAGCACGACGTTGCTAATTCGAAACATTGACGATTGGACGACATTAGTAGGACAGCAGCCGTCGATCGTTCTCGCGCTGCGCATCATTAATGCGAGTAAAACGATGATTTACGTCGGACGGCGTAGTAGTAATCTGAGCCAGGGAGTGCTTTTGTCCTTAGTTGAGCCGGTAATTGGAGCGACGAATCCCCGACAAAGCGGCCGCGCGATTTGAAATTAGAAACGTCGAAATCGTGCGGAATTCGAAATTCGTTTCCGTTGATCGACGCGAAAACGATATCTATCACGTGGTATTGGCTTCGGAGCGATAATATTAATTGCAACGGGGAATAATAAATCGGGAAAGACGGAAAGGCCAGAAAAACAGAAACGATTTGCTAAAGCTTTTTTTAAGTAAATAAATAGGGGTAGAGAAATTGATTAGACGGAGTGTTTGTTTATACCGATTGTTGGTCGTAAAAAAAGAACGAATCGACTTAAATTTGTGGGTTGCGTTTGTTTACTTTTCGTTCTTCGCGCACATGATGTATGCGCGCATCGATTGTCGGTTTCGCGCAACAAATTTCGTTAGCATCCCCCGATAACCCACTTAGTAAAAAGCTCTTTCTCTCTCGACCTCAAGCAATATCACCGACAAACTACATAACCCATCTAGTAGACTTTAAACAGACTATTTCACATGATTTGCAACACCATTTTAAAACCGTTTAGTCGGTTGTACATGATTTTAATTTAAAATCACTTTGTGTTATTAACAACGAGACGATTTTAGAGTAAATTTGAAACAAATTTAAATCATCTTAAAAGCGGGGTTTAAAACGTTTTCAACTTGGAATAACAATAGTTGGGGTGCAGCTTTTGCGCTCGTTTTATACCTAACGGCCCTCTTTTGACGATTTACTACTTCGGTCGTTTTTTCAGTCCGCGCCTGACGTCAGCTGGCGCTCGGCCAATCGGAGCGAGCCGATTTCAAAAACAAGGGGATTTCAATTTCATACGACTGACTTATAAATATACATATCCGCGAGCGGAAAAATATCGAACTCCTTCTTTATATCCAAGGATGGATCGTTATCGGTGTCCTCTTTGTCAGTGGGAGAGCAATCCTATCTTCCACCAAAGCATTTCCTAAATCAATACCAAACAACAGCATTGTACGCACATGGATTTACGCGTATTCGGTTACTTCAAAATCTCCCGCTAAGTAATTAATATCGATAAAGTAAATCACTTAAATGTTTCAACACTATAAAAGTTTTAAAGGAGAATTGCTTTCGATTAACAAAACGAACGAACGAAAATTGGCTAAAACTTTCGCGATTCCAAGCAATTCTTAAGGCAATTTTTGGATGAATCGCTCTCGAATGACAAAAGCCCCGAACAAAATTAGCAATTACCATAAAAGCAGTACCATTAGCAGAACGTGTCCTCAACAAAGACTATAATAAATTATTTAATTTGTGTTATTTCTTTTTTTTTATAGTATTTTCGGGAGGTCACGCAGCCCACGCTGTGAAGAAGAGATTCACCGGGCTCTATACGGGACCCTATTTCGATCCATCTACTACAACGAACATCACCACCCAGCTAGGCACTCACGCATACCTTCCTTGCAAGGTAAAACAACTCGGAAATAAGTCCGTTTCATGGATCCGGCGTCGCGATGCTCATATTCTCACCGTCGATCGGTTCACTTTCATCGCTGACGATCGCTTCCAAGCGTTTCTCGTCGAACCAACCGACACCTGGACACTTCAAGTCAAATACGTTCAAGCTAGAGATGCCGGCCAATATGAATGTCAAGTTAGCACCGAACCCAAAATGAGTCATTTCATTACTTTAAATGTTGTGGGTAAGACAAAATTTTTATTTAAAAAGAAAAGGTTGCAGAGAGAATTTAAAAGTAATAGTCTAAAAATAGAAAATCGTTTTCCAATTCGTTGTAAAGACGGGGTGGGATTCGTAGTAGTTCGATAAAGGACAGTTGCGGTGTAAATCGTTGGCAAACGTGGGTTTCAGGGTGGTGTCCTTTAATGACGCCAAAACAAAAGGTTACTCGAACTTGTTCGGAGAAGTGACTGGCGCGCTTAGTTTTTTCTTCTCTTTGCGAACTTTCGTCGTATAATAGCCTTTCTTAAGCTACGAACGTGGAATGAAAACGAACGCAATTTGCAGTTCCCAAGATCGAGATAATGGGCGAATCGGACATCTACGTAAGAACTGGTAGCCCGGTAACCTTAAAATGCGTCATTACGCAATCGTTGGAGGAACCTGCTTATATTTTTTGGTACCACGATGAGGAGCGCGTTTTGGATTATGACAGATCGGTTTTAGACATCAATATGGAAAGGATAAGGCAAGATACGACCATCGGCACACTCGTTATTTATCATGCTCGACTTGAAGATTCTGGAAATTATACTTGTAGCCCATCAAATTTGGATTCTGCTAGCGTGTTACTTCACGTCTTAAACGGTACGTTTTTTAATAATTTATCTTTAATTAATAAAAAATGTTATTTAAATGTTTAGGTGAACATCCAGCAGCTATGCAACGTGGAAAAAATGGAGCATCTCCGATTCCTGGATGGTCTCACTTGTCCATGGGCCTGGGGTTGACGGCTTGTACTTCTCGAAAGTTTGCTTTCCTGATTGCAATAACAGTTGCGGTGGTTGCCGAGCTGTTAGTGACATAAGACTTAAGTAGAGACACAGCGCGAGAACAGAACGAAGTGTAGACTTTTTTACTGTGTATACTTTTTCAGAAAAAAAAACAAAACAGTATCAAATCTAAATGTTGTTCTCAAATCTACGTACAAAGGTTGCTCAAATTCATTGTTGCTGCGGTTCAGTTTCGCTTACGACTGTTGTTGACGGTTTTTCGTTGGTAAGCGTTTGGACCTGACGATCGTATTCGGTGTTCAGCTCCTCATTTGGCTTATATAGTACCGAACGTTTTAGATCGCGCTATGACGATTGGTGCTCTAATATACTTGTGCCAAAGAAACGTTCTATTCCTGGTTATAACAGCCATTGAAATTCTGTGCACTCCTTATTGAAATACTCTAACATATCAATTAATTTCATTCCGAATCAACCACCCAGAAAACAATGAAAATAATAAAAAAAATATTCATCTTATTTTCTCAAATTTGTGTTACTAGAACGATTTATATTCAACATACACACTATACGATACAAATTTATATGGGTCCATAATCAATACCAACGATATTTCCTACAATTTTAAAATATTCTGCTTTTACAGTTTCATAATGTTTGTAAAGATTTTCGTTATCGGGTGACACACTCAAGAATTCCAAACAATCTCGCAAGGATTGCACAAAATTTCAATTAACCCGTCACGTTTCCCCGATTGTACATACATTTGCATATTTGCGCGATACGTGGTTTGGGGTCCGGCTGTGTAAAGCGTGAGAGCATCAAGAAATCACAACGAAGGTGGAGGGAAAGAAAAAAATGAACCATACCCCGCATTCCCCGCCAAACATTTCCGTTTACTGTTATCTATTACATGCTCGATAGATGTGGGGAACACTTTCCAGTTTTTATTTTTTTAAGAAAGCGTTCCCGGTTGTGTACATAAAAATTATTAAGGAATTAACTTGTAAGCTGATACAGACATGTAACCGCACTTTGGACTGTGTGATTCGTTTAAAACCCACCTAACCCTAACCAATACCGTACCCAAAAATAAAAAACAGGCGATAAGTCGTTATCATAAGGTGTGATTAAATTCTTAAGATAGTTAGAAAACTAAATGTAAAGTTAATAATAATAAAATATAACAATATATCATCATTCAAGGATGTGCGCGATGTATAAAATACAACAGACACTTTTGGTTTGTTTCGAACACGAAAGAAAGTAAATATATATACACACAAATATATATTATATAAAAAAGAAGCTTCTCCATCCGTTAGTTTGAATATCTTAGAGAGAATTTTTGACGAAAAATGGATTTAAAAAAACATGAAAACGTGAACTTGTTACACTGAGAACTGTGAATAATATAGGCGTAGGCGACGTGTTTTTTGTTACACTATAAACATTCAGTGTACTTTAGGTAAGGTCGGAATTGTAACCCAAATTTTCTGTTAAAATAAATCGTTATGAAATAAAAAGAGAGTCTGATGTTTCATCCTGCGTTTTATTTCCCAATTATTCTTTATATTAATAATTATTTTTAAATTAAACAAATATTAAATAAACGAATATTGATATTACCCTTAGCAAAAATTGGTTTGAAACTCAACTAAACAAGATTAATTCTACCATTGAGTAATAGATGTCACTTAATTTTAATCTTATTTTAATTTGAATCTTAAATTATTGTACAAGCTAAAACTTAACAACAAAATTCGTGATTTTGTAGCGCTAACATAAAATTTAGCCCCATTTATACAAACTTCTTAACCCAATAATAGTCTGTCAATACGATGATGGAACGATTTCTAGAATCTTCCAAAGCTGATATATGAAATCAAGAGCAAATTACTTCTTATAAGAGACTTTGTATCTTTATGAAGACATAATTTCGCCTCAAATCGCCGAGGTCACTTGCGGGCGAGGCGCTAGAATCTTCCAAATCTAAGAATTTCGGTTAGTTTGAAAAGGATCCTATCTCTTAATACTCCAAGTACTTTAGAACGTTAAGATATAATCAAAGATGGCGCAAATTCAAACATTTTTGACTTGAAATTTTAATTTTAACCAAAAAATTGTTAAAGAAAATAAAAGAGAAGTGTCGGTTAAATTATTTCTTTATTGATGTTTTGATTACGGTTTTGAATCAATAAAATGAGTTCGTATCGATTCACAATCTCGATGATATAAAAAGAAAATAAAGTAAATATTTAAACTTTTACTTTTGTGGTTTTTTTTAATGTCAACACATCCAACTATGTAGTATACATCATAATACCGGTATATTTTTTACTAAACTTATTTACAAATTTTCTAAATGTCTATTTTATTTACAACTCTCTTATTTTTTATATTATATCCACTAAAAAAACGTTTACTTAAAGATTATCGCAACGCAATACACTGGTTTTAATTTATTATTTTACAAGGTTTCGAGAAAAAAAAGAAAATATATATTAAAATACGCTTTACTCTGGCCATATTTGTTTTTTCTATATACTCGGAGTAAAAAGCTTTTTCTCCTTGTAGATAGAAAGAGTATGGATTTAAGAACAACAATACAGGGTGTAGTAACCAAGAATTTATATAAAAAACTATGTACTTATTTTCTTAGTTATTCCACATAATTTTTTCACATCCTGTATATCTTTTAATCCAATATCGTTTTAAGTATATACAATCTCAAAAGTTACCATCTACTGTACACTTTAAATGCAGTTTATATGATTTTTGTTTATCAAAAAAAAATATATAAAAATAAAAAAAAATAAAAAGGTGATAAAACTTTATTTTTTTACAAAATAAAAGAAAATATTTACAATTTCACACAGTAAAGCAAAAATTTTTGTTCACAAAAAAAAAGTGAATAAAAAAACAGGATTGTTGTAGCAGCGCTTTTTACAGTTGCTAAAACAACCCTAAGACTACAGCAAATTTTCACATAAATGCAGCAAATACAGTATCTAAAATTAATTTATTAATTAATAGTACATTTAACACATTGACTGCAGTACTCCTAATACTGTAAACAAACGCAACTGGGTTAAATCCGAAACATAAACGAAAAAAATATATATTAGATTTGTGCTTGTAACGGTTAGAAATAGTTACAACTGTTTCTATTCGTTCCTAGAGCAAACCTACAATTAAGTATCTGAGTAAAGCTTGAGAAGGGTTTTTATTAATGCAGCCTGATAATAGTTGCAAAAAATAAATAAATAAATCTAATCCTAACCTAAATTCACTATGTTACTACATTTTTTAAACGTCAGTTAGCGACGTTATGAGTGTTTTATTCGTACCTGGTCGAGATTATTAATTGTTAAATTAATTAAATCAGATTAATAACGATCACAATTTTTAAAACCACAAATATAATTCTTTCGAATTAATAAGAAAGTACAATAAATAATTAGTTATAGTGTTTCAAAAATTAAAATGACACTTAAAAAAGTTTTTGCAACATCGAATCTTTCCTTGTTTATTTTTTTTATCACATGAAGTTTGGAGTGTTCTATTTTCAATCGTGTATGTTTATATTGTGGTGTATTTTTTTGTATAAGATCTTATACATTTTTTCTTTATTGCTAAAGAGTCGCTGATGAGCGAGTTCTATCACAGTATTGTGGATAGGTCTGTAAACATTCAAAAGAAAAAAAATCACTAAATTTTCATTAACAAAAAGCCAAATAAAAAAATTCTACTAAAAACTTTTTTCTCATTTTTTTTTCTTTTTATTTTTCATTAACCACCCGGTAATTTTAAGTCAATTTAAGTACTATTACTAGTCGCCATTGTAACGAACACTTGTTGGTAGTCCGCCAATTCTTGGCCGACAAGCATTTCTATGCCGGAAGCGGCGGACCTGCCGCCACCTCCTCCTTCCGATGCCGAATCTTTACCATCTTTACCTGCCGACGGAGGAGCTGCCTGCTTCTTCTTTTCCAATTCCGAACTTTCCGGTCGCCGCGACGATGATTGCTTAGTAGGAATCACTGGTTTATTTGGCGGAATCGGCGGAGGGACGCCTCTGGACGCCACCATACCTTTTTTTGGTGGTGTTGCCGGTGCCACATTACTTTGAATTTGAGAATGAAAAGTCGACTGTTTACTAGATGACGATGTCCTCGATGATTGAGATTGTACTGATGGAATAACTACAGCTGACGCTGTACCCTTAAAATAAAATAAAAGTTTTTAATATATATATAGAATATTCCAAAACATATTTAATAAATTAATATTATATACTCCATTATAGATTAGTAAGCGGATAACTTCTTATAAGAGACTTTGTATCTTTATTAAAATATATAAGGAACGATTTCGCTTCAAATCGCCGAGGTCGCTTGCGGGCGAGGCGCTTCATTTGATATATCAACACGAAATCGTTAAGTTTGGAAAATTCTAGCGCCTCGCCCGCAAGCGACCTCGGCGATTTGAAGCGAAATCGTTCCTTATATATTTTAATAAAGATGCAAAATCTATTACAAGAAGACATTTACCCTCAAACCGCCGAGGTCGCTTGCGGGCGAGGCGCTACAATCTTCCAAAGCTGACGATTTCGTGTTGATACATCAAATCAAGCGCCTCGCCCGCAAGCGATCTCGGCGATTTGAAAGGAAATTACTTCTTATAAGAGATTTTGTATTTTTATGACGATATATAAGGCACGATTTCGCTTCAAATCGCCGAGGTCGCTTGCGGGCGAGTCGCTAGAATTTTCCAAACCTGACGATTTTGTGTTAATATATCAAATGAAGTGCCTCGCCCGCAAGCGATCTCGGCGATTTGAAAGCAAATTACTTCTTATAAGAGAATTTGTATCTTTATTAAGGTATATAATGAACGATTTTGCCTCAAATCGCAGAGGTCGCTTGCGGGCGAGGCGCTAGAATCTTCCAAAGCTGACGATTTCGTGTTGATACATCAAATCAAGCGCCTCGGCCGCAAGCGATCTCGGCGATTTGAAAGGAAATTACTTCTTATAAGAGAATTTGTATCTTTATTAAGGTATATAATGAACGATTTTGCCTCAAATCGCCGAGGTCGCTTGCGGGCGAGGCGCTAGAATCTTCCAAAGCTGACGATTTCGTGTTGATACATCAAATCAAGCGCCTCGGCCGCAAGCGATCTCGGCGATTTGAAAGGAAATTACTTCTTATAAGAGAATTTGTATCTTTATTAAGGTATATAATGAACGATTTTGCCTCAAATCGCCGAGGTCGCTTGCGGGCGAGGCGCTAGATTTAATCGTCAACTTTATAAGATCTAGCGCCTCGCCCGCAAGCGACCTCGGCAGTTTGAGGATAAATATCGTTTTATGACAAATTTGTATCTTTACTAAGGTATATAATGAACGATTTTGCTTCAAATCGCCGAGGTCGCTTGCGGGCGAGGCGCTAGAATTTTCCAAACCTGACGATTTTGTGTTAATATATCAAATGAAGTGCCTCGCCCGCAAGCGACCTCGGCGATTTGAGGCGAAATCGTTCCTTATATATCTTAATAAAGATACAAAATCTATTACAAGAAGACATTTCGCCTCAAATCGCCGAGGTCGCTAGCGGGCGAGGCGCTATATATTTTCAAACCTGACGATTTTGTATTGATACATCAAATCAGGTAAATTAATATTACAGACTCCCTTATAGTTTAATATTATTATAGACGTTTATGAGGCGAGGTTGGGTCCGAATTCTCCACCTCAAGTTGGTGAAATACAGCCCACATGATCAAAGTCAGCCTCAATCTACAATTGTTTCTGCAGTTGTTCTCAAACAATCATCCCCATAGTCACATTTACTATTATATTATTGTAACAAGTAAAACAATGCCCCACAGAATGTATGTCAGGGTATAACCAGATCTTAATTGGACAAACATGATCAAAATCATAACTTGTATGTCTTGGATGTTGCAACCTTCTTCAGGAACAAGTTCAAGTGATGAGATGGAACTTTGTATTTTGCATAAAGGAACATGAACGAGAACCAGATTAAGAAAAACAGAGTAGTCAGCAATGTTAATAATAGAAAAGATAACGCAGCAAAGAATAATCAATTAACTTCCCACCAATTTTATCTTTAGTTTTCCATCTATGTTTCAATTTGAGCCTTAACATCATATTTATATCTAATATTATGTACCTTTAAAGCTGGTATAACTGGAGCAACAGCAGTTTGACGTAAAGCTTGCCCTGGTGTAACAGATTGAGCGATTCCTGTAGCTAAAAATAAAAAAAATTTCTGTATAAATAGTTTAAATTATATTGAGATGCTTACTGGGTCCAGAAACAGGAACACTAGAAACAGTGGCTGTGGGTTGAACAGCTTTTGCAACACTACTAGTCATAGGTACAGCTGTATCTCCAGGATCTCTGGCTCGAGTTCTTAAAACATCTTCATATAGTGTACGAAGTTTTTGAAGTTCACCTTCAAGTTCTTGGCACCTATAAGAAAATTTTGTATTTTTGTAAAATAAATATTGCGTGATTTACTTTAATTCTGCGGTTGATAAAGAAGATTTTAAAGCTTTTCTTTCCGAATCGAATAGATGAAGTTGTTTTTCTAACTCGGCTTCCATTCGTAAAGATTTCTTGCTTTCTTCTTCTAAACCTTCCGCCATACTGTCAATTCTAGCTTTTTCCTCTGATAAAATCTGCGCTAAATCTTCGCTCCGCCTTCTTTCTTCTATGTATTTAATAATCACCCTTTTCCTGTCGCCCAAGAGTAATAAAACGATCTGTTTTTGCCTTGCTCTTTCTTCATCTGCCAACTCTTGCTGTCTTTTAACCTCTTTCTCCATTTTTTTTCTTGTTAATTTTTCCACTTCAAGTTCTTGCTTTAATCGACTTCTTTCCATTTCTAAGCCGTATGTGATGTCGTCTCCTTGAGCTGTATCATGTTCATGTTTACATTTTTCTTCTTCCAATTCTTGTATGACTTTCTTATGTTTCGCCTCAGCATCTTTAAGGATATTCACCATGTGTTGATGTGCTCGACGTTGCTGCATTGCCAATTGCTCTAACGCCTGTATTTGAGCATCTGCTGCTTCTTGCATTTCTTTTTCACTGTATGGAAGCTTTGAAGATGGGGTATCTGCTATTGTATCACGTAAAAGCGCTGTGTAAGGATCTGACATCACAGCCGGACGATAACGACCCAAATTAACTACTTGTTTTAATTTTTCAGACTGAAATTGAAATTAATGTGATTTTATTTAATGATGTGTTTTGGTTAAACAAACCTTTAAAGCTGCTATAGCAATGTCCCTGGCTTGAATTTCTCCTTCGAAACAAGTAACAAGTTTAAGTAGATCTGTTTTGGTCAATTCCATTTTAGGATTTCTCTGAAGAAAATGAAAAAAATTTTAAAATTATTGCAATAAACAAAGCACTGGGGTGTTGAAAACTTAAATTATTGTAAACAACCTTTAGGGTGTTGCTGGCGGTCGCGTTCCGATCGATTTGTTCGAATTGATTCATTTCAGATGTGGTCCCGGATTGTTGTTGTTCGGGGACCACGGTCAGGGGGCCCCCGATGCCGATGTTGAGGCCAGTTAACCAACCATTCTGGTTGTTATTAGTAGCCATATTGGAATTAAAACGTTTGAACCGGCGATTAGGGCCCCTAAATCACACCACGCAGGACTCAACGCAATCTTTTCAACACCTTATTCGGCATAACTAACACTAATTTAATCACTAAGCGGCTACACAAACATCGTCATTCCTACGTTTGACAATGAAAAATACAAATATAGGTTAATATTATAGCGATCGATTTTTTCACTTGGGGAAATATTTCGTTTTAAGATTGCCAACTTGAATCAATTTGAATTTCATTCTAGTATTTTTCTTTAAGGGGGGAAATATCAAAATAAAGCAAAAATGATGTACGAAAAGTATGAAACAACGAAAATATATAAATAATTTATTTTTTATGCTTAGGACAACTTAATCTGATTTTGTCTTAACCTATTATTATACTGTTTTCGCTAGAATTTTCTAAAGCAGACGATTACATCAATTCAAGCGCCTCGCCCGCAAGCGACCTCGGCGATTTGAGGTGAAATCGTTCATTATATATCTTATTAAAGGTACAAAATCTCTTATAAGAAGACATTTACCCTCAAACCGCCGAGGTCGCTTGCGGCCGAGGCGCTAGAATCTTCCAAAGCTGACGATTTCGTATTAATACATCAAATCAAGCGCCTCGCCCGCAAGCGATCTCGGCGATTTGAGATGATACCGTTCATTTGATGTTTTGGAAAGTAAATCAAGCATACAACATTTTAATTTATACTCACTTCTCCGAGGTCGCTTGCGGGCGAGGCGCTAGATATTTAGTTATATGAACGTAAATCTAGTATAAATAATCGATTCTTGTGCCTCGCCCGCAAGCGACCTCGGCGGTGTTAGACGATATGGTTCATTTGATGTTTTGGAAACTAAACCAAGCACACAACATTTCAATTTATACTCACTTCGCCGAGGTCGCTTGCGGGCGAGGCGCTAGAGTCTTCCAAAACTGATAATGTTGTGTTGATATATTAAGTCTGCCGCCTCGCCCGCAAGCGATCTCGGCGATTTGAGNATGAAATAATAATCTAACCTCACTTTTAAATCCATCAAAATTATTCTGATTACGATGAAAGATTAATTAAACAATAAGCTAAATATAACACATTATAAGGTGTTTATAATATCAATTACATGGTATTAATCTCCAAAATTATACAAAGCATTACTCACCATAAACAAAGATAGACACATTTCTAAATGTATCAAAAAGAGATAAAAGCCTTTGTTTGGTAATAATCATAAAACCATATCCTAGTGTAATTTCAACGTAAAAACTCCCATCAAATCGTTCTTCGTCACCTTTTTAGGCGTACAGCTGACGCTGCAAAGAATTGAAAAAAAAACATGTTAAAAATTAGAGTTTAACGACCAAATGGAAGGTTTTTAACCTGATCATACCTCAAATGTAGCGCCTCGCCCGCAAGCGACCTCGGCGATTTGAGGCGAAATCGTTCATTATATATCTTAATAAAGGTACAAAATCTGTTACAAAAAGACATTTACCCTCAAATCGCCGAGGTCGCATGCGGGCGAGGCGCTAGAATCTTCCAAATCTGACAATTTTGTGTTAATTCATCAAATCAAGCGCCTCGCCCGCAAGCGACCTCGGCGATTTGAGGCGAAATCGTTCATTATATATCTTAATAAAGGTACAAAATCTGTTACAAAAAGACATTTACCCTCAAATCGCCGAGGTCGCATGCGGGCGAGGCGCTAGAATCTTCCAAATCTGACAATTTTGTGTTAATTCATCAAATCAAGCGCCTCGCCCGCAAGCGACCTCGGCGATTTGAGGCGAAATCGTTCATTATATATCTTAATAAAGGTACAAAATCTGTTACAAAAAGACATTTACCCTCAAATCGCCGAGGTCGCATGCGGGCGAGGCGCTAGAATCTTCCAAATCTGACAATTTTGTGTTAATTCATCAAATCAAGCGCCTCGCCCGCAAGCGACCTCGGCGATTTGAGGCGAAATCGTTCATTATATATCTTAATAAAGGTACAAAATCTGTTACAAAAAGACATTTACCCTCAAATCGCCGAGGTCGCATGCGGGCGAGGCGCTAGAATCTTCCAAATCTGACAATTTTGTGTTAATTCATCAAATCAAGCGCCTCGCCCGCAAGCGACCTCGGCGATTTGAGGCGAAATCGTTCATTATATATCTTAATAAAGGTACAAAATCGATTACAACGTGCTAGAATTTTCTAAATCTGCCGATTTCGTGCTGATACATCAAATCAAGTAAATTAATATTATAGACTCCCTTATAGATTAATTTATGAGGCGAGGTTGGGTCCAAATTCTCCACCTCAAGTGGCACACGATCGAAGTAACTTCTGGGGATGCTTCCAGATCACAAAGGACACCTTTAAATGAGTATGAAACAACGAAAATATATAAATAATTTATTTCTTATGCTTAAGACAACTTAATGTGATTTTGTCTTAACCTATTATTATACTGTTTTAATAATACATCATATAAAAACAGACTAGTTTTGTTAGAATAGATCATTTCTTATTTTAAACAAAATTTGCTAATATTTTTTCAGCTTCAATACAGGCCAAAGCAAAAATACTGCGCCGGTGAGATAAGTAATTGTAGAACCAACACTCCAAAATGATACACTCGCAAGTATTGGTCCTAAGGCTCTCGCTAAAGCCCCCAGGGATCGAAATATACCCATTACAGTCCCTTTTTGTTGCACTGAGCCATATTCAGAAGCCATCGTCATTAAACATGGGACGACAAGAGCTGTGGCTAAAAAAAAATATAAAATAAAAATAATTTTTTAATCCTCAACATTAACTTACAAACAGCAAACAAAAATAACCCTAAATATAGAAGATGGATTGACGACGCTAATCCAACGCATATAAATGAAGGTATAATTAACCATAACCCGTTAACAGCAGTTTTCTTGGTCTTATTACTCGGTAATTTGCGAACATATCCGCCTTGAATCAACGCCATGATTAAACCAATAGAGAAAAACATCATTCCTTGTTGAGTTGAGGTGTAATGGAAGACGTGATGAGTTAAAAACGTTAAAGTAAATTCTAATCCGCTGTAAATGAACAAATAAACGAAGTAAACGATCCCTAGGAGTTTTAATTTCCTGAAATCTTGCTCATTTAATCCCGTAACGGGTGTAAAATCGAAAAGTTGTTTTAAATTAATTAAAGCTGTTGCGTTTTTTAAGCTTTCTTTTATACTATTTGCGCGTTTCTCCTAAAAAAAAAATTGTAAAATAAAAATTAATAAAATAATTAAAATTAAACCTTTGGCAAAGTTTCTTTAAAAAATAAAATAAAGAAAACAAGATCACTGAGCGCTAAGAAGACTGCGAATAACGCTGGTAAAATGTACCAATCCCCAGTTTTGGATTTTGCCCAAACAGCAAATAAAGCACCAATAACAGGACCGATTATAAACCCCAAAGAAAATGCAATTCCAATAAGAGCCATCCCAATCCCTCTCGTTTTCATAGTAGATATATCAGTGATAATAGCCATACTTAAGGACACATTTCCTTTGCTAATACCCCCAATAAATCTTGCAAACACAAAAATAGCAAAATTCGATGATAAAGCCCACAAAATATATGAGAATAACACTCCGACCTAAAAACAAAAAAAAAAATTATATATTAATTAATAATTATAATATATTATTAATACTAATAATATAATATATTTATATATTATATTAATAATATATTAATAATATTAATAATATAATATATTAATTAAATAAAAATCTAAATAACATTTAATTCGATCATACCAAACAAGTAATCATAACTTTTCTTCTTCCAATAACATCAGAAATCCCCCCAACAATAGGGGCAGCAACAAATTGTAAAAAACTAAACATAGATCCAAGAAATCCTCCAAATAAAACTGAGTTAAAGCGTTCCGGTGCTCCGACGAGTTCTTGAAAGACAACTATTTGTTTTGATAGCCAAGAATATAATCCGATGGTGTCTTTGGCTTTGTAATGATCCAATAAAGAGGGTAGAAGCGGCAAAATCATTGTAAATGCGAGTAAATCTAGTAATAAGGATATGAAAACGACGTAAACAGTGGGGTTGAGTTTTTCTTGGGTCATCGTGTACTTCTTTTTCTGTATATCAGCACTAATATCACATGTTTCTTTGGATCACAATGCGATGAAGAATGAATGTGGTGTGTGATGAAGATGAAAGTGGTGATACTTTCTAATTTACCGGTTTATTTCCTCAACGAGGTCATTAAATACACGCCCAAAGCGATTTTCGTTTCTTTCCTTTTTCTAATTGGATTTCGTTGATTTTGTTATCTGTGTACATGATTTTATTCGCGTTCCGTTTTAAACCTTATCTCTGGCTTTCCGGGATTTCATACACTTTACGTTAAAAAGATAGGTTAGAATTTCGTTTGGATCATAAAACTTTTATTTTATAGATGTAAAAATAAATAATAAGTTATTTTGATAGTTTAAGGTTAATTTTTAATCATTTTGACGTTTTAAACGTCACTTTGACATTAATGTTTAATAAAAATAAACCAAATAAAAATATAAATATCATTTTATTGTCATTTTAGGATAAACTTTGTAATTCATCTATTTTAATTTGAACTCCTTCTATGGCATTATACAAACTGACAATTTCCTCTTCATTTAAATCAAATACAACATTCTCAGTAGACTCACTGTTAATAATATCACTAAGTTGTAGTTTTAATTTAACAGTAGGAACAATTTCTTTGGGCGAATAATTCGTGGCAGCTTGCAGATTAACTTGCCAAGAAACCCCATTTAACTTCTTCCTTTTATTCAAATCGCCACAATCGCCTTTAATCCTTTCGATCCACATCTTTGTGAATTCTTCAGCTTTTTCTGTATCCAATTTCAAAACTAGCTCGAGATCTTTTTGTAGATCTACAGGTTTTAGAATAAATTTTACAGCTTGATTCCATGTGTGAGTTAAAGATTGCACCAAAAGGACTGATTTTTCCTCTTCTAATTGAAGTAAACTCCCTAATTTTTTAATCTCACCAAGTGTAAAGGGAGATGATTCATCTGACTCAAATATTCGTTTAAGAAGGATCTTAAATTTTTGGGACGAAAGCAAATTTATTAACGCAATTCCTTCTAAAAGTCTAATTAAAGGAGTAAGTTAAAAAAATTGTTGCGTTAATTTTACTTACTTTTTATTTATTGTTATCCAAGGAAGAGACATTTTTTTGAGGTTAATCAATCAGTTTTTTACACACAATTTTATAGGATTTTATCTCTGTTCCTTGTGAGAGAGGTTAAGTTAAATGAAGTTTAGTTTATTATCGCAAGATGTCAGGGTATCATTAAAATACGATTTAAATCCTTTTTTCTGTATATTTCCTTTTAACTGCGCAATTTCCTGACTTCTCAACATAATCATGGTCCAAATAAATGTCTCAAATATGATTGAAGACTAAGCATTTGAAGATTTTATGCCAGAAAGAAAGCAAAAAGAAAACACAAAGATGAACCTCTTTCTAGCACCTTTTTGCCTTCTTTCTACTTGCTTTCTAGCATCGTTAATGTGTGATCGTTCGAATAATGCAAGTTCCAGATATGATTGTAGAAGATGTTATTGAAGACATTATGCCAGAAAGAAAGCAAAAAGAAATGAACATCAATTTAGCATCTCCACGACTTCTTTCTACTTGCTTTCTAGCATCTTAATGTGTGTTTGTTCCAATAATTTAAGTTCATAATATGATTAAAGGAGAAGTTCTTGAAGATTTTATGCCAGAAAGAAAGCAAAAAGAAGCCGGGAAAATGAACCTCTATTTAGCATCCCCACGACTTCTTTCTACTTGCTTTCTAGCACGTTAATGTGTGATCGTTCCAATAATTTAAGTTCTTAATATGATTGAAGAAAAAGTCCTTGAAGATTTTATACCAGAAAGTAAGCAGAAAGTAGCCAGTGAAATGAACCTTTATTTAGCATATCCACGACTTCTTTCTACTTGCTTTCTAGCATCACAAAGTGTGATCGCTCGAATAATTTAGTTCTTCCTATGATTGAGAAATAGTTCTTGAAGATTTTATGCCAGAAAGTAGGCAGAAAGTAGCCAATGATATGAACCTTTATTTAACACATCCACGACTTCTTTCTACTTGCCTTCTAGCATCTCAAACTGTGATCGCTCGAATAATTCAGTTCTTACTATGATTGGAGAAAAAGTTCTTGAAGATTTTATACCAGAAAGTAAGCAAAAAGGAGCCAATGTGATGAAGCTTCATTTAACACCTCCACGACTTCTTTCTACTTGCTTTCTAGCACTTTAATGTGCGTTCGTTCCAATAATTCCAGTTCCTAATATGATTAAAGGAGAAGTTCTTGAAGATTTTATGCCAGAAAGAAAGCAAAAAGAAGCCATAGAAATGAACCTCTATTTAGCATCCCCATGACTTCTTTCTACTTGCTTTCTAGCACGTTAATGTGTGATCGTTCCAATAATTTAAGTTCTTAATATGATTGAAGAAAAAGTTCTTGAAGATTTTATACCAGAAAGTAAGCAGAAAGAAACCAGTGATATGAACCTCTATTTAGCATATCCACGACTTCTTTCTACTTGCTTTCTAGCATCTTAAAGTGTGATCGCTCGAATAATTTAGTTCTTACTATGATTGGAGAAAAAGTTCTTGAAGATTTTATACCAGAAAGTAAGCAGAAAAAAGCAGTGATATGAACCTTTATTTAGCATATCCATGACTTCTTTCTACTTGCTTTCTAGCATCTCAAAGTGTGATCGCTCGAATAATGTAGTTCTTCCTATGATTGAAGTAATAGTTCTTGAAGATTTTATGCCAGAAAGTAAGCAGAAAGTAGCCAGTAATACGAACCTTTATTTAGCATATCCACGACTTCTTTCTACATGCTTTCTAGAATCACAAAGTGTGATCGCTCGAATAATTTAGTTCTTCCTATGATTGAAGAAATAGTTCATGAAGATTTTATGCCAGAAAGTAAGCAGAAAGTAGCCAATGATATGAACCTTTATTTAACACATCCACGACTTCTTTCTACTTGCTTTCTAGCATCACAAAGTGTGATCGCTCGAATAATTTAGTTCTTCCTATGATTGAAGAAATAGTTCTTGAAGATTTTATGCCAGAAAGTAAGCAGAAAGTAGCCAGTGATATGAACCTTTATTTAACACATCCACGACTTCTTTCTACTTGCTTTCTAGCATCACAAAGTGTGATCGCTCGAATAATTTAGTTCTTCCTATGATTGAAGAAATAGTTCTTGAAGATTTTATGCCAGAAAGTAAGCAGAATGTAGTCAGTGATATGAACCTTTATTTAACACATCCACGACTTCTTTCTACTTGCTTTCTAGCATCTCAAACCGTGATTGCTCGAATAATTTAGTTCTTACTATGATTGGAGAAAAAGTTGTTGAAGACTTTATGCCAGAAAGTAAGCAAAAAGGGGCCAATGTGATGAAGTTTCATTTAACACCTCCACGACTTCTTTCTACTTGCTTTCTAGCACTTTAATGTGCGTTCGTTCCAATAATTCCAGTTCCTAATATGATTAAAGGAGAAGTTCTTGAAGATTTTATACCAAAAAGTAAGCAGAAAGAAGCCAGTGATATGAACCTCTATTTAGCAGATCCACGACTTCTTTCTACTTGCTTTCTAGCATCACAAAGTGTGATCGCTCGAATAATGTAGTTCTTCCTGTAATTGAAGAAATAGTTCTTGAAGATTTTATACCAGAAAGTAAGCAGAAAGAAGCCAGTGATATGAATCTTAATTTAGCACCTCCACGACTTCTTTCTACTTGCTTTCTAGCACGTTAATGTGTGATCGTTCCAATAATTTAAGTTCTTAATATGTTTGAAGAAAAAGTTCTTGAAGATTTTATACCAGAAAGTAAGCAGAAAAAAGCAGTGGTATGAACCTTTATTTAGCATATCCACGACTTCTTTCTACTTGCTTTCTAGCACTTTAATGTGTGTTCGTTCCAATAATTTAAGTTCCTAATATGATTGAAGGAAAAATTCTTGAAGACTTTATGCCCGAAAGAAAGCAAAAAAAGCAACTTTTCAATAATATAAGTTCCAAGTTTAATTGAAGAAAGACTTCTTGATGATTTTATGCCAGAAAGTAAGCAGAAAGGAGCCAACGTGATGAAGCATCAATTAACACCTCCACGACTTCTTTCTGCTTACTATCTAGCATCTTTAATTTATGAACTTTTCAATAATGTATGTTCCAACTTCAATTGAGGAAAAAGTTTTTGAAGATTTTTATGTCAGAAAAAAAGTAGAAAGAAGCAAAAGACATGAACCTCTATTTCACACCTCTCCCACTTCTTTCTACTTGCTTTCTTACATCTGTGATGTGTAAATGTTCTTCTTTTTCTTCTAAAAGCTCATTTTCTGTAGCCTATTTGACTTTATTTGCGGATTTTCTGATAACACTTTGATATTTCTTTACAAATATAGGATCAGAAAGGAAATAGGTATGTAAGGTAATGTAAGAATAATCAAGGCGTTTATAATTTCACAGAGATTTTTATTGATTTAGATCTTGAAAAAAAAAACAAATTTAAAAAAATACATTTCAAGTTTATTTGAATTAGAAAATTGACATTTTACTAGCTGATTAAAGAAATCGCGGTTTTAGGTGCTTTTGGATACTGGGTGTATCCCAAAAGCTCTACGAAACAGAAATATCATCCTAACAAAAATGTTAAGCCTGTTCGGGTTGATATCCAGAATCAAAGACGTTCTTAATGCAGCGTGTGGAGGGTTGTCTAAGTGGACTTTATTTTGCACAAATTAATGGTAACACAAGTGGAATCATGGAAGAATGCAATATGTTCCAAACGAATCATTGAACCCGAATTTTTAGGGATGCCAAAAAAACAACGCCAGAGTCCGATTGAAGTAATTTATTGTTGAATGATTTCAATCTCAGATTTTAATCAAAATTGAAAAGTATATTCAAAAAATCCTGCCATCTAGTAGTCATGATCTCAAACTAAGCGCACATCAATGTTGTTATATTGTTAATAACTTGATTCCATCACAATTTCTTATCTTTGAAAGGGGGGATAAAGATAAAAAAGATTTATTTATATAATTTGATTTAAATCTTAAAATTTCAAGTTTAAACAACGTTTAACTCAAATTTATTAATAAAATTTGTTTATAATTTCCAAATATATAATAAAATTGATTTAATTTTTTTAAATCGGAATTGAATGTTATTTGTGCTAAAGATAACGCGACCTAATCGTGAGGTGGCCTAAAAGGTTTGAAATTACGGAGTAATTTAATACTGTTCTCGTGTAGTTGATGAAATGTATTAATTTAGAATGAAATGGAATAATTTTGTGAGTTTGGGATGTTTAAAAATGGGTGCGTTTTAGTACTATTGCCCGTTTAGGATATCTGTACGGTTTGAATTCTTTTAATTTTTCTTCAAAAATTATAATATTTTTTAATACGCATGCGTCGATTTGGTGCATTTCTCTCATACCTAACCATTTCTGTTTGTGCAGTGAGGGGTGTGTTGCTTTGGAACGCTCTTGTTCGCGTTTTTTTTTTAATTAAATATTTATTTATTTATTTTCGCGCATCGAGACCCCGATTGTCGTAGTTGTATATTGAGGTTCTGAGCGTGCGGATGTCCGATTTCTTTCTCGTCCCAGTCGTTTACGACTTCGACGTTTTTGTGAATGTGCGGGAATAAACAATGTTTCTCATGGGATAACTTTTAAAAAAAAAGGTCTGTTCAAAAAAAATTTTTTTAATTTAATTATTAATTAAAATCATTTCTCGAATTCATTGATGCAGAGTATATCAAAGATATATATCGGCACATCAAAAGTTCTTCTTTTATATTCGTGACATTTGCGTGCACAAGAAGTATTTTCTTGCTTTTGCTTTAACATATTTCCGTAATTATTAGGTTTGAGAATTCCACGAAGGTCGATTTTAATGTTAAAAAGAAATGAATAAACGAATGTAAGGTATTCACTGTTTTGTAATAGGTCACGACAATTTTAGCGCCCAGAAATCTTTGAGGCACAAGTTAAACTGTCGTTTTGCAGCAACAACGTTACGTAACGCTATTTTCAACAAGAATTGTGTAGGTACCTAAATAGTTTAAACCTGCTCAACGCATATTACTAATACTCCTCTTACATTCCTCTCTAATTGTTTTCTATAATTGCTCACTTCACAACAAAAATAATCGTTTATGTATTTTCGAAATCATTTTACCTATTTCATTTTTTATATGATTCTTGACCTTTGCTGTTGTGTTTATAAACTAAGCAAAGTCCTAGGTCAATATACTAATAATGGCGCATCTAAAGAAATGCTATCTAGAAAAAAAAACAGCAAAATCTAATAAATGTAATCAAATTATCACGTGTAGCGGTGGTTTGACCTCCTTTTTCGTCACTATTCAGTCTCTTGTTTGATACAGAATGGCGCATTGTTCTAGTTCAAATAAGTAAATTTACTTTTTGTTAAATCTCATTCCTATATATATATATAAAACTACAACTAACACTAGGCTAAACCCGAATGTTTCTAAGATTTCCAAGATTTAGAACTAGAATCATTCTAGTTCTAGAATGTTCAGTATTCATCAACAATTTTTTTTATTACGAAATATAAAAGTGTATTTTTTTGTTGATGACGTCATAATTTAAAAACAGATGATTATCGAGAAGTGAATATGGACTCAAAATGTGTGTTTTGAAAAATCAAAATAGACTTGTTTCACCGTTTTTGCACAATTATGTTTATCTATAAGCGTGGGAATTTCATATAATTCGCAATATATTAATGCAGGCTGTCCCGGCTAGTGACGGGACAGTGATATTGCTAGTGCTATACTAGAACTAACACTAGACCGGGAACTAGAAACATTCGGATTTAGCCGCACGTCTGTCAAGACGGCTAAACTTGAATGATTCTAATTCTAGGTCTTGTATTAGTTCTAGTGATATTGCTAATGTAAAACTAGAACTAACACTAGACATAGAACTAGAATCATTCGGGTTTAGCCGTCTTGAGAGACGTGCGGCTAACCCGAATGTTTCTAGTTCTAGGTCTAGTGTTAGTTCTAGTTTTAATTCAACATCAATATACAATCTAGCACTATCTACTTCAATATTAATATACAATCTAGCACTGACAGTGTTAGGTAGCGCTAGTAAGTCTTAAATAGCGCTAGATTGTATCCTAATATTGAAGTAAAACTAGAACTAACACTAAACCTAGAACTAGAAACTTTCGGGTTTAGCCGTCTTAAGAGACGTGCGGCTAAACCCAAATGATTCTAGTTCCAGGTGTAGTGTTAGTTCTACTTTTACTTCAATATTAATATACAATCTAGCGCTAGCTAAGACTTACTAGCGCTACCTAACACTGTCAGCGCTAGGATTATATATTAATATTAAAGTAAAACTAGAACTAACACTACACCTGGAACTAGAATCATTCGGGTTTAGCCGCACGTCTCTTAAGTGGGCTAAACCCGAATGTTTCTAGTTCTAGGTGTAGTGTTAGTTCTA